TCAAATCTTGAAGGTTCTGTGGGCCTCTTCTATGAACTCTAATCTTTAGTTCTTTCCATAGATTTTCTATTGGATTCATGTCAGGTGATTGGCTGGGCCGTTCTAGCAGCTTTACTTTCTTTCTTTGAAAGTTTCCTTGGCTGTGTTTGGGAACATTGTTTCACTGGAATGCCCTCATCGACACCTTTGTATAGGCCATCAGTTGGGACTAAACCAACTAATATTAATTTCCACTGACAAGGGGCAGCATTGCTTTCTAATTAGGCTACTGATAGATTTCAGCTGGTGTCTTGGCTTTCCATGCCTTTTTGCACCTCACTTTCTTCATGTGTTCAATACTTTTTCCCTGTGTCATTCTACTTTATTACACAGAACTTAATTTCTGAACTTATTTGTATTGTTTTCTTTGTATGTATGGATTATTCGGATTGATACCGACATCTGATGAAAATTTCATGTCAACAGCACCTTTAGAAATATATTTACTGAGAAAAATGGTGATGCGTTCAATACTTATTTTACCCGCTGTATGTAATTAAAAAAGACATTTAAATTCTATGTTTTAAACTATATTTATAATATGTAATAATAATAACAATAATAACAGTAGAATTTCAACATTTTATACATAAAAATGCAATTATTTTTGTCAGGGAAAATGCTGGCAGGAAAAATCTAAACTACAAAAAAAAAAATGAAATTGCGTACACAGTTCTTTTTTATTTATTTTTTAATTATTACTTTTTCAGTTAGGACTAATTAAATTGTCAAATCAAAAGTGATAGTAAAAAACTAAAAACATTTAAAGTGTTGCAAAGGATTCCTATTTCAAATAAATGCTTTTTTTCTTTCTTTTTTTAAGTGTTTTACGAGTTTCAACACTGATAAGAAATGTTAAAATTAAAAAAAAAAAGTTACAATTTTAAAAAGAAGCAGCAAATCAGCATATTAGAATGATTTCTGAAGGATGATGTGACACTGAAGACTGGAGTAATGATGCTGAAAAGCTTTGCCATCAAAGGAATAAATAACATTTAAAATATTTTTAAATTGTAATGCTATTTCACAATATTACTGTTTTACTGTGTTTTTGTTGACCCCAAATATTTGAATGGTATGTATGTATCTCATTTGTAAGTCGCTTTGGATAAAAGCGTCTGCTAAATGTTAATGTAATGTATAATGTATGCATGTACTTATGATTGTTATTTATTTAAAGCCATGCCTTTTTTGATTAATATGTAACATCATAATAATATATAACAGCATAGATACAATAGTATTGAAAGACATGGCAGGCTACATTCATAGAGATTTCATTTTGGCTCTGTGTTTAATATTTCAGGTGCTCAGGCTGTTGCTTCTCTTTACTCTTCAGTCCCGGCGGAAGCTTACGGGATTGTTAAAGGATTCTGTTTCCAGTCATGTGGATCCAGAGTGCTGCTCCAGCTCCTTCCTTCTAAAGATGCTGCTGTTAGCACCATGGTTCTCTGCCACAGAAATGAAACTATGCTGGAAGAACTGAAGGTTTGTTAAATGTTAAATTAAAGATGGTTATGTGTTAATTTACTCATTTTAATTATTTTCATTTAAATGCACCAATATAATAGTCTATATACTGATTAATTCAAATTATCATCAAAAATCATTTGAAATAATTCACCAAAATGAAGCTTACCAACTCTAATGGCATTTTGCTGCTAAAGTTTAAAACATCTGTCTTAGCTGTATTTAAAAACATCTGTTTTAATGCTTTTATACTCTGAGTCATGAGACAAGGAAGAATCTAGACTAATGATACAGTCTTTAGGAAACTTAATGGCCAAATAAAAGCTGCATTAAAATCATCGGAATATTTACAATGCTTACTTTTATATAGACAGTAAAATCAGCACAGATAACTCGTGAATGTGCAATGTATTGCCCCGCTTTATTAATAATTCCTGATTGTGCTGTCTTCGCACTCATTCTGTTGAGTTTATTTTGGGTGCATACTTCCTTCTCTGTTAGTTCTCCAAACTATTTATTTTGTTTCTTGTATTTTTGTTCCAATTTTCTGAATGACTTTTTCCAGATTTACTGGATTCCATTTCTTCATTCAAATTTACTGCATAAATTCTCTCTTTTACTTCTCTCATATGATGAACATTTGTTCCATTTGTTGGACAGATGACATGCCAAAGAGCAGAACATGTGTTGCGACTGACTCTGAGGGAGCCCTACGCCCTGCTTGGAGGAGGCTGCACAGAGACGCTGCTGGCCACCCACATCAAACACATGGTATTCTATTCCACTGAGTTAAACATCCCATTCAGTTGTATTTCTACAGTATTGATTATACTGTAAAGTTCCACTTGTCAGAATTTTATGAAAAGATTCATGCATTATGCATTCCTTTTTCAGAGGTATTAACTGTGAAATTTATTTTCAAGGCTTGCCAAGTGCCACATTTCTACCTGACTAGACTTTTAAACCTTTCTAGTTTGATTTTTTTTTTTTTTTTTTGATACCTCACAGCTTTTGTTGGATCATCCCCAATTTTGTGATAAATAATTTTGATCAAAAAAGTGTGCTGTGCACATCCAAAATCCAAAAACAACAATACACAACAGATGTCCGCACACTGAAATTAAAGCTCTAGAAATCTTTATTACAACCAAGCGTGAACATTTTATCCAGTTAAGCCTTCATAACTGGTCAAACGTTGCTCTTGGTTGGAATTTAAAAAAAAATTAGTGTGCAGACATTTACTGTTTTTCCTTTTTTTATTATTATTAATTTTAAATCATTTTGAGGCCATATTAGTCAAAGGTTATTTAAAAATTGTATATGGTTTAATGAATCTTAATCGCAATAATTGGCTCAGATTATATTCAGACCAGCCCTCACAAAATTAAACTTATTTCAATTAATGTTGTTTAACATTTATTAATTAGTGGCAAATCTGCTCAAACCTATTTAAAATGACTATTAGGGGAGCTATGACCAAACAAATCATCTCAACATTAAAATGCACATGCCATTGGTGTACCTGTAATTTCTGCTATATTAAATTTTTTTGTCACTTACTTCACAGAATCAGTCCAAAGCCGCAACAACACCTGCAGCTCTGTGCGTCTCTCAGTCTGAGTTCCTCATGGCAGTTGAGGCATTCTGCAACTCCCTGCAATCTGTGGCTCTTTCCTTAGAGCATGATGGACAGGACTGTCTCATTGACCTGACATATGCTCATCGCTGGGTCACAGATATATACTCGAAAACCTGTGGCTGTGGCCTGGTGGAGGACAGATCCAACCTGGAGAAGACCCTTCTAAATACAGTTTACCACACTTTCTCTCCTGTTTCCCTGGAAAACACTGACAATCAGCCCAGAATATTACATTCATTTTCTGCCAAGCTCAATGCTTTGAATGTGGCGGTCGAGATGGCTAATTTTGTTCTTGATGTAAAATATATAATTAAGGATATCAATTGAATTTTGATGAATGAAGAGCTGTGCATTGAATAAAGCTTGTAGGTTTGATGTATTTTATAATCAAATGTTTTTCTAAGACTTTTTCTTCAATATAACTCAATGTGGCAACATACATGTTAAATATTACTGACATTAAACTACCAAAACCAAAATATGAGGAACACAGAGAGTTGCAGACTGTCTCATTTCTTATATGATGCTGCAAGAGTCTCAGTTAACTGCACTTTTTGCAAATATGCAAGCAGAAAAATCTGTCGTCATAAGGACAGGTTTTAAATTAAGCAAAATAAAGTTTAAAGGTTTTGGTAGGTACATTTTCTCAGTTCACCTGAATTTGACATGTATGACAAAAAGTTTAATTTTGGACCCTGCCTGAGTCATCTTCATTGTGCCATGTGCCTTTGAGAAAGGAACACATCTCCAGGTAGCTCCGAGGCTAATGTTTCTGGTAAGGATAAAAACATCTGCTAAATTACCACATAGAAGTATCTACTCTGAAGGAAATTATCTATTGTAAGAAAGAACAACGGGTGTGTATTTTGTAGATAGAGTTCTCCACACTAGGTGTAGTCCTTAATCCTTCCAGTATGTTAACATTCCTGCTGTTAATTTGGCTATTAAAGTATATTTAAGCTCCATCAGTCAAATGTTCGGTTCACTTCAAATGCACTTGCTATCAGTTCACTCAGTAATTTTACGTTCATTACAAATCAAACGTGTCTCGGGACTGACGCCTGTTTCACACATACTCCGTCTGCGTTACGTATGCGGTGCAGAAGCAGCACAGACTCATTGTGCTTTCACACAGGACGCGACTGCAGTCCACTCCTGATCCGCGGCTGTTTACCACAAGCACAACATTTATTCATTATTTTGATTTCAAATCCAAACGTAGTTAGCCTATACTGAAAGTGTTTTTTCAGCATTGTGATCCTCTTTTATCACAGTACAGTTACACAATCTTTCAGACATATTCACGTTTAAACTCAATTAATATAAACAGCGTATTAAATGCATTTGGCTTTTAGATGTGTATATTAAATTCAGCCTACTGCTGCCTTCTGATGCGCTTCTGGTGTGGGTTGGCACGGCGTGGAGGACGTAACAAAACCTCTTCGGAGCCGTAATGCGCCGCAGACGTGTGCAGTGTAAATAAGGGGTCAAACAGGCGTGACCTCTTCTGACGGATTCAGTTTCGTGAGTGAATCACTCAGACAGGTTTTATGAACCGTTTCCACTGATTCAAATCAAAAAACGACCCGTTCACAAATCGGAAATCAACGGTTTTTATAGGAATTAGACACAAATTTGTCCACGATGGAGGCCTAAGGAGTGAGGTAAATGTCTTTGCACGCTGTGAATTCCTCCAAATGTTTTCGCCTTTTATGATGCCATTGACGGCAATGGTACAGCTCTTTCTGCTTGTTTACAGTTTTTGATAGTGCACTTTCTGATGGCACCGGCTTTGTTTTTCACAAACTTTGCTTCTCCAAAAAGTCTACCGACACACTTTTATGCCTTATGAAACAAAATTTTAATTTTCTATTCTTCTTTCCTTGATGAAAAGGATTATCTTAAAACCAATTTCTTAAATCATTTTTTTTACTTAAAATATGAAGTGAAATACTGCATTGTTAGCATCACCACAATTAAATAGCAAATTTCTGATTAGGCTATTTTTACTGTTAAGCAAACAGATAATCCCAACCCCACCATGTTGTGACAAACTAGTTAAAATGCTCATGTTGTAACAGCACCACATAGTCACACAATGTTTACACCTTTTGGACAAATAAGCCTACTTATAGTTCTGTCTGCATATTAAGCTGCAATACGAGAAAATATTTAAAAATTACACACAGTTACACACAAATTCACTAACAACTGCAATAACATACTGTACAAATGATAAAAAAGACTAAGTTGTAGTAAAGTGTTCTGTTGTGATTAATCCATTATCATACAGAATGTCAAAACCATTATGCTCAAGACATAAATTGTAGAACCTTTCCTGCAGCATGCTAAATCAGGTAATGAAAACAAACCAAAAGTACAGGTGTAAATCGTAGCAACTGAGAAGTTGAATTCTTTCCTCCTATCAGAACAAAACTCCATTTATCTGTCATGGCTCTTTAGAAGATGAAGGGTATGAGAGATCTTCTTGATCTGGGGAAATCTTCGAACTTCTCATTATAGAACCTGGAAAACATTAGAGAAACCACATCTATTTTTCTAACACTTTTTTTAGTGCATCACTGCATTGTACTCTCAAAACCCAGTTTACTGAATTAATGATATACCAGATGAAAAATGATGTAAGTAATTTTCTAATTTATAAGTAATATTAATTTTACAAGGTGTTTTTAGTTTACCTGTGATGGTGATAGGCTCTCGGGCCTATGAAGCAAATTGTGAAAAAAGCAAAGGCAAATGTGGGTAAAGACCAGGTAGCAACAGCGTAGCCCAGCCACTCTACAATCTCCCCAAAAAAATTAGCTCCAGACACATACTCAAACAAACCACCTGCAGTTTAAACAAACACATAAATCAGCTTAGCATTTATTCAGTCCAGCTAATTGCAGTTTGCTTACAGAGACTGAGATAAATACAATAAATGATGAGTGCTGCTAACATTAAAAAGACCCTGAAATATCTCTACCTCTCGGGATTTTATAGGAAATTTCTCCAGGTTTTCTCAGGCTGCGAAGAATGTGGTCACTGTGAATATTGATTCCCATTCCTATGAAAAATATTATCAGACCTAGAAAAATATTTTTAAAATCATTATATAAACATGTACAACTTTATATTAAGCAAGTCCTCTAAAGAAATTTGCTCCAAACGATAAGCTCCAATACTCTACACTTTTGAAAATAAAGATTTAGGCTATTTTTAAGAACTGTTCACTGTAAGGTTCCAAATGTTAAAGTTCCAAAAATGATTCTATGAAGTTGCTGCAAAAAAAAAACTTTTGGAACCTTTATTTAAGTGCAGCTATTCGGCATTAACATGCTAATTTTTTTAATTGAATAAATTCTAAAATATATAAGAAAGGTTGAGCAAAATTCTGAATTTAAGAATTATCTCCTTTTCAATTCACAAGTTGGACTTTGAAATGAACTGTTCAACAAATTTAATTAATTTCATTAGTCCAACAAAAGATTTTTATTCAGTATATGCATATTTATTACCTATGTAGAATTCCCTATGTAGAATTTTATCTCGGTTTGATTCAATATATTTCTCTTTGATGGTAGTAAAAAGGTCAGTACTGTTATAACAATTAATACAGCCATACTAACAGATTTTATAAGATAAACAGCAGTAGTTCATACTAAAGTATGAATATATCTGTTCATATCCTGTATGAATTTCTTTGACTGTACCTTCCATTTATTTCTACTTAAACACAAATTCAATTGACAATTAAACACCTCAATTTAAATGCTCAATTCAATTTTGAATAGCACACAACCCTGAATTATACGAATTCTTTCAGTAAACAAGTTTTACCGGCTAGTAAACAGGCCTCAGAAAACCATGTATTGTGATATGTAGCACAGTGCAGCAGATAGTGTGCCTGCAGGAAGCCATTAATAGAGCAAAACACCATCCCTAACAGCATGATGTTAAGCGGATACGGCCGCCCGTTGGTCAGCAGGGAGTAGATGCAGCTCCTGGAAACCAGAATGTTGATACATATCAAATACCATCTCTTGGTCATCTGCCCACAGTACATTACACTTCCACTGTTATTAGGCCTACTGTATGTGTCTTTGTAATTCAACACCTGTTCCCAAACCTGCTGTGTTTTGTCCAGATCATGCTTCTGTTGAATTATTCAAACATTTCTCACTTTATTCACCTGCTTCTGGCCCGGTTATGTGTAATTACTCAACTGAAATATGAATAAAATTCTGCTGTTACATTTCTGCAGCCTTGATTATTTGTCAGCACAGCAGGATTGTCTAAAGAAACAGGAATCTAGAACATTCCACCCAGTGTGTTCCCTTTTGTCTTCGGATTAAGGGTATTTTTTTTCCTCATTTGTTCTGGGTGAGCTAGGTAACACATCCAGGTTTGTGAAATGGCGTAGCTGAACTTGGGTTCACTGCATACTAAATAAACAAGCACTGTAAATGGCAGTGTTGGGCAGTAACTAGTTACTGTAATAATATTACTTTTTGCAGTAACTAGTAGTGTAACTAATTACTAATACGATTTCAGTAATAATATTACAGTTACCATCCATAAAACAGCTTAGTTACTTTTGATGTCTCAACCCTGATTTAAAATCCAACAATCAAATAATTCTAAGATTTATTTTCATAATTTTCACGACTCGCACATGCATGTGATGTCCCCAGTGCAGCAGGCAAGCTTGGAATATGGAATATGGAAGCTTACATTCAGCAGATAGAAATATTAATGCATTATATTGACTTTGTCAGGAAAAAAGATGATCTGAACACTGTTGTGTAAGTTGTGGCTATAATGTTATATTACTATAATGAAAAATATTTTTGGAAAATTAAACAGCTTCTTACAAACTTATGTGATTTGATAAAATACATAATGAAGTATAATCGTATATGGGTAACAGAGAAATTACAATTAGCTTCAAGCTACACATGACAATTAATGAGATTAATATAACACTTCTACTTGAATGTCACTATCAATCACTATTGAGTGTTTGTAATAACTTCTGACTGCGATCCAATGGATTTTGGTCAAATGATGAGGCAGAAATGTGTTGTTAGTAACATTCTAGAGGAATTTTATGTCAAAGATACACAGTAACAATTTCTGTGGGGCGTGAAGAAAAAGTTATAGTGTAACTAATTACTGTTGCCAGAAAGTAATAAGTAAAGTAACAATATTACTTTTGAAAGGAGTAACTAGTAATGAGTAATATATTACATTCTTTGAGTAACTAGCCCAACACTGGTAAATGGTAACAAAAATGCTGTGATATCATGCCATGTCATTATAAAGTGGCTATGATCCACTTTCTCTGGCCGATCTGCATTTTATACTAGTGATCTTTCATTTTAAGATGTTAAATTACCATATTATTAAGTGTTTAATAACAATTTGAATTATTCTTCAGCCCCACCAACAATCTTCCCATCATTCACACGACTTACCTCTGGAAGTAGTGCAGGCAGAAGGTCCAGAGCATCAGGTTTCTCCCAGTGCCATTGTTTCCATCCGTGGTCAGCATCAAAATCAGGGGCACCAGCAGAGCGGGAAGCTCCTGGAGGAACCAGGCGAGCCTTGCAGGCACCATCATGGAGCTGCCCGAGGTGTCCACGTAGCGGCCATAGGCAGCGTGAGACTTCATTAGACATATAAAGTGCATTACCCCACCCAAGATCATCGCCACGCTCAGGCCCTGCACGAGGAGCTCCTGGCAATGCATGGAGGTCGACATTCTGTCCAGTTCCAGACCAGGTTTGGGTGAGTCTAATGCTGTATCTCCCCTTTTAACCCCTCACCAGAGTTCTGCAAACACAGCGCCTATAGAGCAGCTCCTCCCCAAAAGCAGAGGGAGAGCCGAATCCTGTGCTACAGCTTGCACCCTTCTGAAATGTGAGAATGCCTTTTTCAAAGAGATTTCCCTTTTGACATATTGAGATTTTTTTTTCCACTAATGCACTGGTGGGGAGCATCAGCTTTCATATGACAAATTGGTCTAAAAACACAAGCATGTCTGTTTTTTGTGCAACTCGGCGAGCCTTGGCTTTTTTTGGCCACCTAAGGAGCGTGCTGATGTTTACCTGCTTCATTCTGTGAATTAATGTTTGGAAAGGTGAACAGAGAAATTAGTTTCTCAGTATTTTACAAGAGCAGTAATCCAGTCTGTCTTTCTTTCATCAACCTGTTTACACAAATCGAAGCATGAGAAAATAGGAGAAAGGGCTAATTCTTTTGAGTATCATCATATTTCCGGAAGGCAAATGGGTGGTTTTTTTCTTTTATGCTTGTTTTGGCACAAATATTAATACTTTTCTAAAGGAAATCTCCTCTCAGACTGTAAAAATAAAGATATTTCAGGCACCGTTTGGGTTTCCTTACATTTCCACACTGGCAGAACCATTTGGGGAAACTTTAGGCACATTTTGAAGGTTCCTCAAATGTGCACTAAAGGAACTTCACAGTTAAATATCTTTAATTATTATATATTATTTAATATTAATATTGAGATAACAGTACTTAAGATTATTTTTTTTGTAAAAAAATAATATTTATAAAATATACATTTTATGTGTACTTATGTGTTCCATCTTGTGAGTTTCTCAGATAACGACCCTTTTCAAAAAGAGGTTCACCAGGAGGTTTCTTCAGGTTTATTTCCCTAAACACTTTGGCATAATCAAGTTCAGACAATTTACAAATTGCGGGAAAAGTATTTCCAAATCATACATCCCTAATTATTGTATGATGAATTCAGTTGACTTTCAGAAAAGCACGTTTCTACGTCTATAGCTCACAACAGGTTGTTTCCTGCAATTAAGGGAGCACCCGCTGAGAATGCTGATGAATGCATGAGTGCTGTGTATGTAGAGAACTTCATCAAACAGCAGGAAGTATTTCCCCTTGCACCATTTATCCATATTACCAATAACCGTTCAGTGTTTGTCCCCGGTAAAAAGCAGTCACTCAATAAAAGTCACTTAAAACAACAGGGTGCTCAAAAAATCCCAGTCTTCCAATTATGTTTCCAAGGAAACGCTTAAAAGAATACAATTTTACAGCCTGACTACTGATAAATTGATGTATAAAAATAACCCTTTAGCATTATTTCAATTTTAAAAAGCAGCAGTGAATTTTAAGCTACTTAATTTTGATTGACATTGTTTTCTAAAAGCATATTTACCTGCTCTGCAAAAATGAAAACAATTAACAATTAGACCAGCATTTGAATTTCAAAACAGATGAACCCAATTAACGAGTTTCCCATTTTGTTTCAGAACATGATGTAAGCTTGGGACCAACACTGCAGTCATTTCTGGAGTAGAAACTTGCAGTCACCACAGCTGACACCTCTGTCCAAACGAATTCTCAACAATGTTCACTTCACTCGAATGTGTTCACTGCAACCTGAAATGGCTCAGGAGATTTGAAATGTCAACGCTGCTAAAGAGAACAGATTGATGAAGTGATATTTGTTGAGCTGGGCCAATTAATGGGAACCTCCATCTCTTGTTCCCTGTCTTGAAAAAAAAAAAACTTAAATATGTGAAAGTTTTAATACAGAATAAATTCTAATCACAAATCAAATTTCAAAGAAGGGTCAAAGAAAAGGAAAAATAATTCGAAAAAGTGAAAAACAATTGTATGAGCTGTAGTTTGAAGGTACTAGTTACACAAAACAAATGCCACCTAATACCTGAAAAAAATGAATGGCACATAAAACAAGTATTAATTTCCTCAGCCCCTGCTTCAGTCAAAATCATAAAAATCTACGTCCATAAGGGGCCTGGTATTGTTTTATGAACCTTTGATAGCTACAGCAGTCATCATCCAACTAAATAAATAAACCAAGAATAAATAGGAAGTTTTCACCCCACAGGAATTTTGCTGCATAGCACACAAAATTAAAAGGTAACTGGTCTGCCATGCGTGCTCTTCCTATTTAGAATACATGCACGATAATGTGACGATTGCATGAGGCTGGCTAAGCAGTGCATGACAGGTCTGCTTTCAATATAAAAGTACGTCTGCAAAATCAATTCAGGAAAAGTATTTCATATGTGTCCGCTTTTATTATTTTAAGCCTTCACAGTACCATTCAAAGGTGTGGGGGTTGGTAAGAATTTTTTAATGTTTTTGAAATAAGTCTCTAATGCTCACCAAGGTTGCATTTATTTGATCAAAAATACAGTGAAAAATGTAATATTGTGAAACATTATTACAATTAAAATAACTGTTTTCTACTTTAATTGATTTGTAATGTAATTTATTCCTGTGATGGCAAGGCTGAATGTTCAGCATCATTACTCCAGCCTTCAGTGTCACATGATCCTTCAGAAATCATTCTGATATGCCGATTTGCTGCTCAACATTTATTCAATTCAATTCAAGTTTATTTGTATAGCGCTTTTCACGATACCAATCGTTGCAAAGCAGCTTTACAGTATTATCGGTGTTGAAAACAGTTGTGCAAAAGTTCAAAAGAACAGCATTTATTTTGAATAAAAATATATTTATAAATGTCTTTACTGTCGCTTCTGATCAATTGAATGTGTCCTTGCTTAATAAAAGTATTTACATTTTTTTTTAAGTAATTTTCTACAATTACTTGTCAAGAATGGTTACATTTGCAGATATGTTGCAAAAATGCAAAATTCAATAATATCCTCATAATGACTGGGAAACATGTTGAGGATTGCTTTTACTGCCCAAAAGACCTTTCAACTTACATATTTCGTATATTTTGCTTACTACAGAATAGAATGTGGTTTAAACTTACATATCCATGATTCCGCAATCCTTCAATTAGAAAAGAAATGGCAGAGAGACTACATCTTGGGAGAAAAGCACAAGACTCGTGTTGTAATACATGGCATTTTTAATTAATCTTGGCCAACTCCGACTCCAATAACTCACCAACTGCTCGTAAACATGTCACAAACACAGGAATCGCAAACAATAACACAAGAAACCACAGCACAGTAACGTTTGTCATTACACTTTATTGTTTCTTTGCAACATCAGCCATGACCCTTGTCATATCTGGTGAGAATTTTGTAATGCTTCAATGTAACCTGAGATTCAAAAATGACTCCGTTAAGGAGCGCATCAATTAATTTCGACATCGGTTTGACAACGTGTGAACGGTTCATTTCTACACAATAATAGTTAGAATAATAATTTTAAAAAAAAATTGAAACAATTCTAACAGTACAAGAACAGGTGTTGTGCTGGGTGAAACCAATGAATCTCTTCCCCTACTTTGAAAACGGCGAAAACTGATTCAACAGATTAAATCAAGTCTTTTTAGTGGGTAAATGAAGGGTGGGGACAAGGGTGGAAAGCACAGGACCAAAAAAAAAAAACATGTTTAACACTGACCCAAGGCACATCTGCATGGTGTGACATGCTTTGTCTGTTTTCTGTTTGAGGATTTGGTTTGAGACATTCAAACCTTGATGGGGATGTACAGGAGCCTTGCCGTTTTCCTTCCGATGGTTACCCAGGAAAAATCTTGCTGCATTGTGCTCTTTGGGAGTAGGTGAGTTAAGGAGAAAAGCCAGACAAAATGCCTATGCCGTTCAGAAAATCCACCTCCGGCGTTTCCTCGATACGGGTGTGCATCACTAACTACTAGTCAGCTGTTAAACATGGCTGCTAACTTGCATGAGAAAATAAAATTGTTTCAGAATAACCAAAATAAATCCCCCCTCACGATTTAAAAGTTTTGGGATTGAAGGGATAGAACAGCCATTTTGAGGCAGTCTGAACTGTACTGCACTTCCTGTGGACTTCAAACACTACTATATGCTTCCACACAGTTTGAGATTATATGTCAAACGCATAGTAAAACTAGAAAGCTAAATAATGGTGATCACAAAGGGAAAATAAACAGAACAGAATATAAGAATCAGAAAAAAAAACTTTAATTTGACTACAATAAAAGATTAGATGAGAGAAAAACTCTTTTTTGGTATATCCAGAACAGTTGAGGGTTAGTGGGTATTGTGTAGCCCTTTAAAAACTACAACAGGACCAACGCAGTAGCTATTACTACAATTCTCAGGGTGTACATGGACATAGCATGTTGCAGTCTGTCAACTTCCTTTGTCTCATTTATCATTAGGTGAGACGTTATGTAGATTATATATGCAGACTTGCAAAAAGACTGCAATGTCGATGGTTTTATTTCTTTTATTTAAACTTTAAATGTGTCTTGCTTTTAAATTACACAAGGGCTCTTCGGACATCTAACGTCCTTGGAGGGTCAAAAGTGGATTTTGCCCTCCCCTCCCAACAAACAAGGAAAAAAACACCACCAAAAAACTGACCTTGCAACACCCAAAAAACTTACTTCAAGCTATAGCATCATCCAAGTTGCCTCACATGGAAAACGGGGTACAGGGAAAGCAGTAGGAAGAGGAGGTTAGTATCTAACGTTACATCTGGATTCGGGGTATGTATGAGGATTCCCAGCTGCAACAAGCTTCATATGTCCTTCCTATAGTAGAGGCGAGGGAGGATGGGGACACGGGTGAGAGGGGCTGGGGTCTTCTAGGAGGCTCTGCGGTTCCTGGGAAAGTTCACCTCAATGAACGACGAGAGTTCCAGCAGCGTAACTCACAGAGCTGTCCGACCAGTTTCGGCACTGGCTCGACTGCGCATAGTTTAGGAAAGAGAAGTTCATGTCTACGCCATTCTTTTTCAGTTCCGCCACAGCCTGATGGAGTGAGGAGAATCAATGGAGAGTCAACTCTAAAGAGATGCTTTTAGACTGACAACTGTAATCTTAAAAGCTTCATAATGAAAGAGCGGGAAGTTGGCAAGACATTAGTTGGGGGGGCATTAATAAAAGCTCTGCGAAAGTTAAGTGCTAGGCTAATTACCATGCTTACGGACTAGCCATTATTTGCATTATTTTGCTTTTGCTTTATTGAGTCGACAGCGGTTTGCTAAATGTAATGTCCAGGGGGAAATTCATGAAGTCGTTCATATGAAGGTACTTACATTTAGAAGAACGCCGATGGGATGGCGACCACAAATAGTATTATGATATTTCTTTAAATAATTGCTAAAGGAGATGGGGTCCAACTGTTCTATAATTCCCATTCCCTAAAAAAAAAAAAAAAGGAAATTAACATGCATACATTTCACTGACATCAACAAAGCTTTCCCATTGTTGGCGTTAATAATGATGTCATTTTTATTTTTGTTTTATTTATGACTCTAATGTTGCATTTGACATCTGGTGTAGTTTAATTGCACAGCACAACATCTTGATATAAAATATTCAACTTTCCAAAAGCAAGATGGATTTTCAGTAACACAATAATGAATGGATATTTCATAGAAGGAGCTCCAGATCAAACGCGATCCTTGTCCATTAAATTACCCTACAGAGGCAAAAGTACTTTGCCCAGTTGGTAAGCCTTTAATGAGGTTTGGGTTGCTAAGAACATCTGCTATTTGACAGACTGTCATGGGTGGAAAGTATTAAAGCTGTTCTTTGAATCGCCGACTTCCATGGCACAGTAACCATAACAATGACTCTTTAGCTTGGAGAAAAACCTTTTTTTCTAGAACCACCGATAGGATTAGCACATTGTGTATCCCAAACCAGAATGGGCTACTTGCATGTAAACCTCATATGTCAAGACATAAAGTGAGTTACCAGAAGAAACGGGGGATAGAAACAGGTTTACCATTTTGTCAAGGTGCTCGATAGATCTGTAGATCTCCCCTTGACTTTCATCGAAGTAGGTGTAACGGAAACGTTGACCTGCAGAATAGACAAAAAAGGTTCAACTTAATCAATTAACCAGAGGCGGCACATAAAAACCAAAAGGGATATTTGTATGGGTTCCTACCTATTTAGAGCATTCCAAAACACCCCCTTATGAGGTTTATTTCAATTAGAATGCTGCCATTGAAGTCAGCTGCCTATGTAGGCACAGTAGGCAGCCTGTGTTTCTGGCAAGTCTAGCACATTGATGGAGAGTGTGAGAGTGGAGAGAATGTCTGTGATGCCGAAGGGAAAGCATGTATATCTTCTTTACTAGATTCATGCTGCTTTCGTTATCATTAATTTGAGTGACACTTGATTTAGAATGGTTCACAATTTTTTTTTTAATTTGCATAATTCCAAGTAAAGTATCAAGCCAATGCCATGCCTTTACACTACGATTACTGGAAATTATATAGAGAAAGAGAGACAGAGATATTTTTCATTTGTTCTCTAAGGCCTTGGCAATTATATACAGTTTGTGTTAAGTGTTTTTTGTATTATATGCATAAATATGCACACACGGTTACGTGTATATAGGAAAATTGATGCATAGTGAATAAAAAGTTAATGACAAAAAAAACTGATGTTAAGCATTCAAAAACTACTGAAAGTCGTGTGATTAATCAACAAATCCAAAGTGTTGACTAGTGTCAGAACTAAACCACTAATCGGTGCAAACCCTAGTAGATTTACTGTTGACAAGATCATGTCAGCACTACATCTCATTTCAACAAACAGGAAATTCTTCACCGATTACTAACTATAATTGATACTAACTATTTTCCGTTTTTTTGACTAAAAATTAAAGTGTGTGAGTGGACACAAACCCCAGTGGCAGAAGTCAGAAGAGATGATGAAAAGATTAGAAGGGTCAGCCAGGTATTTGCTAAGCAGCTTGCCATATTCCTGCTCTTTAGATTCACTCAGAGCTCCCACCAGCACAGGGACGATGCTGAACTCATCTTTATGGCTGTTTTTGAAAAACAAAGCACAAAACAGAATCATTTGTCAATTCCCAGATGAAGATTTGACATTTGCATGTTTATAAATATTCTAAATTGTCAAAGTAGTTTGCATCACTCATTAAAATCCATGCCCATGTCAAATCAATAGCTCGACAAAGGTTTTCATTTTCCCAAATTGCAGAGGTGTGAGAATAAAATGTGGTGCAAAAAAAAATATAAAATGCTGAAAGCATTTAGAAATATTATAGTTGCTCAGCAACTAATTGGTTTGCTTGTGAAAAAAAATTACCCAGATGTCTAATCAAACAAATTGAGAGGATGTTAACTTTTCTATGCCCACATATTGTAATATTTTAATGGAATAATAGAAGCGGTTGGTGGCTCCTGCATTAATATAAAAAAAAAAAACATAGATAAAAAATAAAACACAACAACAACAAAAACAACAGAACATCCATCACGGCAAACTAATTAGAGGCACCACACTAGGTAAACAGATCCTGACAACATAATTAGTGGATCTGGCAGAGATGAATGAGCATGAGAGTGCGACTATGGGTCAATAGCGCTGCTCATGACCTCGGCATAGAGATGAGGTGAAACCTTGATATATCCTTCTTCCTTTTCTTTACATTTACATTTTTTCCCTGTGCAGACTGTGTCCTACACAAGGATGTGTATGTCTTATAGAGAGACTACATAAGATAATTAGAGGAAACCACAAAGGGCTATATCATATATCCTTTTGCTATAGTGCAACACTGACACAAGGTTAAAAAGCAAAAGATAAGACTTTGCAAGCAACACCTATGATCTTGGTTCCTTCAGAGAAGCCACTTGCATTTGCGCTTTATTTCCTAAATAAAAGTTATATAAACTAAAGTTTAAAAATGTTAGGTCTCGTCTGTAAGATTTTATGTTTTTGAAAGAAGTCTCTAATGCTCACCAAGGTTACATTTACTTAGAAACAGTACTTAAAAAAACAGTAATACTGTGAAATATTATTACAATTAAGAAGAACTGTGTTATATTTAAGTACCACAATTCATTCCTGTTATGACAAAGCTGAATTTTCAGCAGCCATTTCTCCAGTCTTTCGTGTCACATGATCCTTCCGAAATCATGCTAATATCCTGATTAAGTGCTCAAACATTTATTATTATCAATGTTTAAAAAAAAAAACGGTATTAATATTTTAGTGGCTTTTTCAAGATTCTTTGATGAATAGACAGTTAAAAAAATAATTTATTTGAAATATAGATTTTTGTAACAATGTAAAAGTCTTTACTGTCATGTTTAATCAATTTAAATATTAAATTCTAAGTATTAACTTATTAAAAAAAAAGTTTTTAAAAAGACCCCAAACTTTTTAATGGTATTGTTTTTTTTTAAATGGTTCAAGCATAGAGTCTTCCCAGATTCCAAGGTATTCAGTGGATAGCGCTTGATGTCCCAAACCTGTATGAATGATTTTCTACAGTGGAACACAAGAATGCTTTTGATATTTTGAAGAACTTTTTTTGTGCACATAATGGAAGACAATAGGGTGCAAAACAACACTGAACCACCTTTGACTTTCACTGGAGAGAAAAAAAAAAACACTGAGATGTTTTGTAAAGTATCTTCTTTTGTGTTCCACAGAAGAAAGAGAGTCATACAGGTTTAACAACAACATTACGTTGAGTAAATGATTACAGAATTTCCATGTCTGGGTGAACTGTTCCCTTAACAGTCAAGATGTAGATATTCATTATTTGGTTGTTACCTCTCCATGGCTTTAGCGGTATAAGGCAGGTGCATCTCAATGCTGTGTTCCTCTTCGTCTGTCTGCAGACTCATCCTTTCAAACATGCCTGTTTTCCACAGATCAGCGTAAACTGCCAGAGAAAGAGATGGGGCAGTGGGAATTAAAGCCCTTGTGTTTTGCATTGAGGAGTTCTAATTATAATTACACAAAACCTCATTAATATGAACACCATCAAATAAAAGACCATCTCTCACATTACTTTGTTGCACATTCATTATATAATAACAAATTTAGTCATTTACAATTTGAAAATTTTGCAATCTCTTCTGCAAAGCTCAGTTTGAGAGCAAATGAGCCAGACATAAAAAACAATCTGGGCGACACCTTTCTGTGCATTGTTATTCAATCAGCATTTAATCCTGCCAAGGGAGAAAATGAGATTCCTTACCCTTCTGGTCGATCCTCAGGTCGTACAGTGGCGTTCTGTAGACCTCGGCGGGGGAGAGGGCACAGCGAGACAGTGGCACATGGTGAGAGGGGCCAAGAATGAACACCCTCCGACTGATGAATAAGAGAGCGCTGCAGTTACCTCTCTCCCCACGGCACACTCAATATTACGGCTACTTCAAGAGAATTTAAAGAAGCTCAGGAGAGACACTTACGTGATGGAGGGGTCCACCTGCTTGTAGGCGTGGGCGGCACACGCGCCGCAGTAAGTGTAGCCAGCGTGCCTGCAAAAGACAGTGGTTTAAGAATGCAGAAAGACAGCTGAAACGGAAGAAAGAAAGAAAAAAAAAAAGATGTTTGTCTGCTTTCACTCCACATACGGTGCTATTATGGCTCTAGCTGGACCGGCTGTAGGTTGTGCTTGAGATAACCAGCCCTCGAGTTGTGCGTTAAGCTGGGATCCTAATCGCAAAGACAGAGAAAAATGTCATTAGCAAATATGAGAAATGCAGACATAATTTTACAACTTTGGCACTTCAGCTGGGAAGATTTTTTGAATGTCTTACAGATGTAGTTTGTACAGTATCATTTTCACTACGTAAAAAAATATTTTAGAGCATTACAAGTCACGCTTTATAATCTAAAACATGACAAAGACCATATTCATTATACATTTCTGCAATATTTACAGAAATCAAGAAAATGAAGCCTATTTTAGAGTAATGATTTTTATGGATTATTTTCAGGACAAATATTGTGGAAAATAAATGTTCATGTAGACTCAAAAGAATACATTTTCTCTTTTGCAGTTTTAAAAACAGCACTTTGAATATGTAGGCCTATTTAATTGGCATTAAGCACATTTTCCTCCCTAATTTCTATTGGCAGAATGCAAAACAAAAAAATCGTATTACTGTAATGCTGACAAAAATAAATATTTATTCATTGTAGTATCACCTCAGTACCGCAACATGCTAAAAGATCTTATAATGAAGAATTCATCTGTGGATTTCTCTTCTAAATATAAATCAGTCAAACAAACAATGACGCAATAGGTGAAATGGCTGTCTTGAATGTTGATTCCAGCAATATTTCAGCCTCAGACAGTGCCATTGTCCCAGTTCTAATTACTTTCTTATCAGAGTCTGACAGGACAAGATAACAGTTTTGAGAACCAGTGAACAGATGAACTTCAGCTGATTGTGAAAAAGGAATAATTAGAATACAACCAATTTGGTCAAATTTTAGCAGTTGTTAATCAAATCTCTACACTGTAATGAATCATACCATTACATCACTAATGATATTCCAAAGAGCAGTCAGGTGAGACATGGTCAATATATGAGTCTAATATATGAAGAATACCAATATAGCAGTATATCAAAAATCTAATATTATAATATATTTTTATAATATTATGTATAAAATAATCATTATTCATTGACATTGTCGTACAATTTGTCCAACTGACACACTCCTAACTAACTGGCCAGTGTTATCACTGCCAGATTAATAATAAGTAGTCATGATCTGAAAACTGTAACTGAAGACAAAGGCATGTTTATACATGTATGGACTCGCCAGACTTTTTTCCAACACATTACATCATACATTATTTGCTGGAGACTTGCTTTGCCTTCTTCATATGCATATAACACTCAAAAATGTGTGTTTTGAACAAAACAAAAGCTCTAAAGATAGTGACAGCTTACTAAACACAGATCATCAAGTAAAAGCCAAGACTGACTTCTCTACGGTGTAAAAATATGTGATCTAGTGTGTGTGTGTGCAGCACTGGGCTTTTGTCATGCATCCTTTGTTACTGCATGAGAGGAAAAAAACAGCACCGGCCCTCTAAAGACTTTCATGTGCTGACTGTGCTCACTGTATTTACTGGAATGGAACTGCACATAAATGCTGACCGATATAACAATGAACACAGCATTTACCAGACATCAATATTAAAGAAAAACATTGTTTTAATATGTATGAAAACACAGCTGTTGTGTACAGCTGTCATATGAACTTCATCAAATAGCTTTAGCCGTTAGCAGAGTAAATCCAGCCTTCTGAATTGCGACAGAAGTTAATCTATCTGGATTTACTCATCCAGTAAAGTATGGCTGGGTAAAATTAGCGTGGATGGTATATTAATCTGTGGTATTAGTCTGTGTAGTTGGCGTGTAGGAGAGATTCACACACACCGGCTATAGGCTAACCAGCTAACTGTTGGCCTGTTTTGTTCTCAGCTGCTATTACACACACTAAAGCTAAACATTTACAATAGAAACACACACACAAAAAAAACAACAACAACATGCAAATATGAGACACACACACACACAGTGCGGTCGATTTAAATAATGGCCCTTGAATTTAAATGCAAATGTTTTCTGTCTGCTCAATGAAAAACAGAAAAAAATATACAAAAACATTTTTAACATTTAAAGTAATTCATTAAATAATCTTCTAAATGCCAAGACAAATTAAATAACATTTCATGACCGAGGCCCACTTTTTTGTAGATTTAGATTAATTGCTGAGCAGAATTAAATCCCTTTAAAGTGATTTTCTAACAAAATAAAGCTAATGTTTTAGTTCACATTTTAAATAAAGTTAATTAGTTTTTAAAAGACCGTATGTTCAGAAAAAGGTACAAATTATGAAGAAACTCGCCCTGTGGTCTTTAACCCATTTTAGGCACAGCTATTTAATAATTCCCAGCTGATCGCACAGGCTCTGTCTAAAAACAAAGTGAGCTGCCTACCTAGGCAGCATTTTTGAGCGTGCTGAACGTCCCAAAAATGCTGTCCAGATAGGCAAGTCACTAGGTTTTGAGACACTACCAGACACACACACTGGTGTAAGCAGCACACCGGACCTCAGGCCCGGGCTGCTCTCGGGTCTCTGGCTCTACCTGAGGCCGTGTACCAGCTGCCGGCGTGGCTCGCTTCTCTGCACACCATCCGGTTCGACATCTTGGTGCCCGCGCCGCCTATCTTGGTCCAATAAAACCTCGTCGGTGGGGGGAAGAATGAACTAAAAACACTAGGAAAATATGCTAGCTCAAAAAGCATATGCCTGTGCTGAAGCTGCGTGCACAGGGAAGGAGTATTCTATATAATCTTGATATAAATGTGAGACATATAAGTGACGATACGCAAAACTATAAAGAGGTTGATAGTCTGTCTGTGAAGAACAAAGATCCGACCAGTTCATCCGCTCGCTGCCAAGTTTGTCTCTGTTATCCGGATGGGCTGGTTTGGCCCATCTCGGCTTCCGTTCTGTCAAAAAATCTGGGCGGGGAGAGTTGATTGACTGACTGAAGCGAAAGACTGATTGGTCGGTTAGGACAAGGGACGTTTCCAAATAGATGCATATGTATATTACCCGTTTATGATTGGATAGCTAAGTGTGTTGGACTGCGACTCATTGGCGGAAGGCAGATGTGGGCGTGAACTCGCAGATCGTTTGTTGGTGAAAACGTAGCATTTGTAACATTTAATATAGGATTAAAGACAATTTTAGGGTTGAAGAAATTTCAGATTTTTTTTTTAAGTAAAACAATAGAACAGTGATTGTGTCTTTGTTTTATGATTGTCGAATTGCACCCTTTATATTTGACTGTTAAAGACGTCGTTTGTTATTGTGAACAAAATAAAAAGCATTGACAACATGCTAAAACTTATCATTTTTATATTCACAAATGTATAGTGTCTAAATCTATACCATTTTATAAGGATTTTTGTAATGAGCTTGGATTATACAATAACCTAAAATCTATATATTCTGTACAAGAACAAACTATAACCTGTTCATCGTCGACGACTTCTTACTGCTTCCATTATTTATTTTTATTATTTATCATATTCAGTGTATATGTTGTATATATCAATTTCAATGTACATTCAGACTGACTGACTGCAGTTTACCACCAGAGGGTATCGTTGCATAGAAAATGAATTACGTGCCCTAGGTTAGTCGGAGTTTGTGTAAATAATAAACTAGAGAACAAATCTGCTGCGCTACGAATAATACGGATGCATCCAAGTAAAATCAGCCAGTCAGGTATTTGTCTTTATATCAGACTTTAACAACATTTATTGTTTTTATAGACATGACATTATCTCTACAATAAGCCAGAGACACAAAACTTCCACAATTCTAGTATATCGTGTCAGCATGTACTCTTTTCGCATTACACTGTACTCAAAAAATAAATAAATAAACAAACAAATAAAGTCGTCTAAGCCAGCAAACCAACAGTACAAGACTTTAGTGACTTTGCCACACACCTTAGCTAGTGTGCCGTCCCGGAAAGGCTTCCGTTTCCAAAGCAACAAGGACGCAAAAGCTGCTTGGGTCACAGGCCAAAAACTGGAATTTTATTTACTAACTACACATACAGTATAATTATATATGGGTTACATTTGCAATACTTAAAAAGCATTACATTTTAGTTCCAGGTGATGAACAAAATACTTTGCAGCTGATGTCATTGGCACTTTCCACAAAACACAGCCTAAAACTAAAACAGTGTAGGGCTAACTGTTAGTTTTCAACAGATGGTCTGTAAAAGCAGGTGCGTAACCTTCAGACGTCTTCATTTAAACTGTCTCTTAGAGGATAGCTAGTTTGCGACCAGTTTGCTAGTGTACAGTTATTAATAAACATGCTAGTCCCATAAATTGAAAACAATATATAAAAATATTTATCCACTTTTATAATATAGTGGCTATCTTATCCGCTGATACTTTAAAAAATCTCATGGCACCATTGTTCACTGTATTCATGGAATGTGCCCTTTAACTGGGCCAGTTAGATGTCATCTTGCCCCGCTAAACATTTAAGACTTTCTCATTGTGTGTTGTTACAGGGGACTATTGGGATCTCCATGGCTGCTGTGACCTCAGTGCAGTATTTTACTGAGAGGTTCTCTCTAACTTGCAACAAGCCAGTGTCCCACCTGCAGCTGGCCTGCTGTCCTTCTCACTGTGCTGTCCCATGGCAGGACAAGAATATAAGAATTTATGAAAACAACAACCTGGATGTCTTTGTTTACCTATATCTATTTTCAATAAACAAATATATATAATTATTGTCAACTGACTGAAAAAGTAACCAATTATTCACATATTTTGCTGCAATTAATTGCACCTAACATTAAAATTTGTGATCATAAATATATTTTCACATTTAATTTCCAAATTTTTTACCATGAATTATGCATAAAGGCAAGTACCATCAATACCAAACTAATGAATTTCTTTCATTTCTGGGGATAAAAATAGTTAATATAGCCATTCAATATAACAGTAAATTGTGTGCCATCATTTGTAACATTTAATAGGACTACATTGTTGCACAGCATTAAACAATTTAAGTTAACATTTAAATCTAATTTTAATGTTTCCTGTAGCCTCCTTTGGAACTCACTGGTCACCATGGTGATGTGTCTGCCATGGCTTTTGGGATGGTGAGAGATCGTCTCCACCTCTGTAGTGCTTCTGAAGATTATGTTATTGTCTGGGACATTGATCGCTGCTACACACAGATCAAAGACGGTAATAACGCATGCAAAGACCTTGATTCAGAAACAGACTGAAAAATTCTGCTCGTCTGCAGAGCATATAAATCTGTGACAACTAAGAATGATCTGCTCTGGAATATATTCTCTGTCAATCACTTTTTTGTCCCATCTCCCAAACATGACATCTGTGTTCCAGGTGGAATTGCCTCAGGTAGAGTTGTTGGCACATTGCTCGGCAGGGTGCTGCATCTGTCAGTGTGTCCACTGAACGCAAAAATGGCCGCATGCTCCGGCTCCAGAGTGTTTCTATTGAATGCAGAGGTATGAAATAAGATACACACGATTTTGACTGAGTGAATCGAAAACAAAAGCAGTTATGCTGAAACAGTACAAAGGAAACAAATGCCTTTTTTGACCCATCTCCAGATGAAACGCCGAACAAAGTCTGCATGTAGAACATTCCGTTACCCAGACTGTGATTGACCAGCCCATAAAGATGAGAGAGTTCTGTCCATGGGACGTTAATCTTCTCATCTCAACATCAGAAGACAGAACATTTAAGGTACAGATTTTATTATATATATATATATATGTATATATATATATTTCATATATAGATATATATGCACGATATATA